GTTACTTTGACGTGTTAAACTGGTTGGTATGAGTCATTTGGAAAAACGATTGTAGTAGCCAGACTTAAAATAAAAGTGTTAATTCATCAAATAAGCAGTGTTGAGAGGTACAAATTACAAAATTATAGTCCGTGAATTATCTTAAGCTGTAGAGATCGAAAATCGGTTGTGATACTATTGTATAAATTCACTGTTTAATATTCATTAAAAATTCTAATTCAACAATCTATTCAGGTTTGTAATTTCGACGTTCAGCAATCAACAAACACATCGACATTGACTCAATCTATCAACCAATCAGAAAAATCATAGGATCAAGAAACAGATCAAAAGGGGTGTGCAATCAAAACAAAGTTGCAAACAACGACAGGTCAAAAGACAACAGCAACCAATCAAGATCGAGGTTATCAGAACAAGCTACAGGTCAAACGTGGAGGAATTCGAATGCTTCACTTCTATCTGAAGTTTGTGCTGATGATGTTGTTCAGAAGAACAATGAAAGCTCCACAACCAAAGCAACCAGCTCAGAGAACAAAACACCACCACGTTCATTTGTTTTCTGTCAAATTGCATTTTCATTTAATGGTTATCTTTGTATCTCCATTGTTGCGATTATTATCTTAAATATTATGTAACACTTTACAAATATAAAATAAAATACAAGATGGAGATATATTGTATCCAGTGAAAAACAGCTTCATACCATCTTCCTTTGGTTTTGAATTACTTGAAAGTTCACAGCGAACTTCATGTCGTTCGAAAGATAGTAATGACTCGGTAATTGAAGTTTCATTTGTTTTTATGAATAGTTTGAGATTAGTATCCGAAGCGTAATGCACTGTTTCTGTTTGTAATTGATAGTGTTCAGATTCCCCCTTGCTCTCAAAGAAGATAGATGGTAATGAAGCGGAAACGTTAAACTTTACATTTTGATGATAGCTAGGTGAGAATTTACTCGCTGCTCCCTCAGCAGGGCTGGATGGTCGAGAATTCTGTACAAGAAGAAGAAGAACAAACACACCATTTGATAAATACAATTGGGATATATACTAAGTAAGGATATTTATACTAGCAAGAAGAATAAACGACAAGAGATTTGTGTAATATTGTTTCAGTTAGTCAAAATAGTTTAAAGTTTATTGAGTTTGTGATTTGTATTGGCTGGCATAATGAAAAACATTTGTAACAGTTATCTACAATTCAGTTTTGAAGAATAAATAATATCAACATACAAATATTCAACTACAGCTTTTCTATGTTTCGGTACACAAATTGAGAGTTGTTTGAATAATTCATAATAACTTTAAAGTTACAGATACATCCAGTAAAATCTGTCATAATTTACCAGCTTGACTTGTGAGATTTAACAAAAAAAGACAGACAGACAGATACAACGCAGAACTTCGTACGTACGTACATACGTACATCAGTTCAGGTTGCCATACCCCATCAGCACAGAGACGCAACTGTCAATTCAAATCCAAGAGTGATAGCAATAATAGAAGTATTAGAAGTAATGGAGAAGATTAGGGAGCAAAGATATGATTCGAGAGGTATAATTCAGTAAGATAAATTTAGAAGGAGAAAGAGAGAGATTATGAGGAATGCAGAAGCTTAGAATTTCATAGAACATAAAGAGTAGATGCACTTGCGCCATTGCAAACGATTCTGAGCCATGTCATTCAAGGTCTCTAACCATCGGTGACTATCGTCTCGCAGACCCCAACCAGGTAGCCTACATCTAACAACATGACTCAGTCCACTTGTCAGTGACTTCATGGATTTGTGCCATGTTTTGATTTGGCCGCCCCTAGCTTTCTTCCAACCTACTCCTACACTGCGAAACATAGCTCGTCGCGGCAGTCGGTTGTTAGCCATACGTAACACATGTCCCAACCACCTCAACTGATGAAGTTTCACTACTTCATCTATTGATTTGCCATCCCTAACAAAAAAAACTGAAGTTCATTGACTTCCAGAACTTGTTCTAGATTTTACCAACAGTCTAACACTGATTAAAAATGTTTGCTGCATTTTATTCAGTGAGATCATCAGTATTTACATAAACTTCATTTAAATAATGGAAATAAAAGGAAAAAACTTTATCATCATAAAAATATGCATGAATTTACTGGGACTTCAACATATAAATAAGCTCAACGGACTTCAGAAATCTTTTATCAGTATAGGGTTGAGTTTGATTGAAATCATGAACTGATTAATGTTAGGACCATAATTGAAATGAAAACGACCTCGTAAGTGAGATGAACATTGTTAATGAGTCTTAAGATATTGTAATGGTTACTACTTGAAACGCCGATTCCAAGTAATATGCAGCAGTGTCACCCAGGAGTTAATACAGGAGAGAAGACTATCGGATCTGAATGTATGATGAAATGAGAAGGTTTTGAAGACCAGAAGGCATATGCAAGATGACAACCAATATCCTGTTTGTTTAACATATGGAAGTCTGAATATAAGGTGTATAAATTTTGTTAGTAAACTGTGTATTTAATTTTATTACTATTCCATAGAGTTTTAACGTCTTTATTCGCTATACTAGAACAAAACAGCAGTGCAGTGTTTTAAGATTTTAAATGGTGGTATAACATAGATCAGTCCATGATTTCAATTAAACACAATAATATCCACCACTCTGTACCGATAGTTACCATGTGCTCACTAGCGACCAGCTTCGTGAGGAAAGTCTCAGAGTCCTAGTGAGAAGCCGTGACCAGTGAAGTTCAATCGTGTAGGGTATGAGTCAGTTAATCACTGAATACAATCGAGGGTGGTTGTGCAATATCGTGGAGTGATTGATGTTAGACTCTGATTCGGTTGCGTGCTGATTCAGTGGTCAAGAGGTTAAGCATTGTTGCACGATTCCTGCTTGAGGGATCATGGATGAGTATTGCTGAAGAGTCCAATTACTAGGAATAAACGTCAGTCAAGTGCTTTTAGGTTTTAAAGTATGGTATAAAATTGATCGATTTATGGTTTCGAAGAAATCTTTTAATCTGATATGTTCAATTAACGAAACGGGATACATTTTTGAGTTCAACAAAAGTAATCTGATACAGTTAATTTGGTTAACTGTAAATTTCTGTCTTTCAACACAGTCGTACCCTAACCAATACTGGTCAGTGGTAAATTTTATGTTAAAACATATGTAACATGTGTTTTAGCTAGTTCACACAATGAAAATCCACAAGCTTTAACAGCTGACCTATCGTCATTACCCAGTCAGTAGCTTACATCTTATTTCAGAATGGCTCAATCCACTGTCTTATCATATGCAAGAAATGTTTCAAAGACACTTTTGACCAAATCCTGGTAAGCTACGCATCATCTTGAGTTAGAAAGACAATGTTTAATAGCTATAAAGCAATACAAACAATTGCTGAACAGTTCATTAGCCTCCTGATGAAGTCGATATTTATTGGCCAGCGATCTAATTCCAATCTGGACAAACAAATACATATGCAATAAATAAATCTCCCCTTTGATTTCCGTATTATATTCCTAGGCGAACCCCGTTTGTGTGACTGCGGTGATTAAAAGCCCACTACGGTTTCAGTTGGATGAGTTTATTTCAAACAATCGTTCACGCAAACAGACATCAGCAGAATACGAAGCTTAAAATCAAAGCGAAGCGAAAGGGAGGAGAAGGTAAGTAAGCCTATTTCAATGTGATAAGGCATGACTAAGTATTTATTATCGACAGTTAAAATAGGCTAGACATGTAATGAGCGAATTGAGTGGCACACAAACACACACTTAATTAAAAACGACCAAGGTTATATGCGAAGGATCGTCAAGGTCAAAAGACGAGTGAAAAATGACTCAAACAGAAAAGATTAATGGGTTTGTCCGAAAGCTGGCATAAGCCATGTGGACTCAACATATTAGTACTCATACCACAGGCATCCATCCTACTTACATCACAAGTTAGCACAAACCAAAAGAACATTTAGGAATCGGTCGAAGATTTCATCAGTCAACAATCCATCAGAGTGAATAGAACTTTTAGTGTAAATGAAGTGGTTTATGCACTCAACTATTCCACTACAGGCTATGGTCAAACTAGGTACTGAAGGAGATTATCCATAACATTTAAAGCTTTTTCATTGCTAAGCGCAATAGAAATATGTAGAAATTGGTAAAAGTGCTTGATGTGTATTTGCTTCACAATAGGTTGTGATCATCTGTCAATGTAATAAATAATTAAATTCAAACAAACCTCAGAACAATCTTCCACAGGTATCTGATCACTTGAAATTGATTTGATCGTCATAACTGGTGCTTCACTTATTTTTACATTGTTACATTGATCATTATTAGTCATCATTGTACATTGAACAACATTGCTATGATCAAACTCTTCAGAATGATCTAATTTATCTGATAACGATGTTGATGATAATTTAGAGCCTAAACAAGGAATAATCTCATTGTGATTTGATTCAATTGGAGTATTTGGAATATTATCAAGTAATTGTTTAATTGTATCATTTTCTTCAGATAAATGATTTGAATCCGCCTCATTGTTTACTACACCGTTATGAATGAATACATTGGTATCTTTATGTTTTATTGAATGATCAGATGGTGTTGTATAAGTTGTATGAGAATTTTGCGCAGAATAGTTTGATAAATTACCAAATTCTGATGATTTTCTACTATCTGTCCATGATGATGGTGTATTTGATAGATTATTGAAATCAGAAACAACTGGTACCGTATGTATGGACTCTTCAGATATTGCTTCTTCTAATCGTGGTAATGGTTTAAATCGAGCTGATGAATAAACTATACTTAATGGACTATGTATGATTTGAGGTGATGATATAATTTCATGCGTTTCAAATGATTGATTTAAGGGAATTTTTTTGGAATAGGACAATGAATCGGATCTTGTTTCAGACCAATTAATTTCATTGTTATCAGTTACTTCAGAGAGATAATGAAATTCTACACCGGTATTTGAAGATGATGATGACGATGATGAATGTGTTTGTAAGAATTTATGATTATTTAAATTAGATAAAGTGATAAGCCATTCTTTATTAGCCTATATATATACATATGTATATAAAAAAGGGAAAAATGTCATCATCAATAGGAAAAAGGAAAATAGGATAGTTACAGAAAATATAATGCTATGGTCAAAACACATGACTGGTGTCAGCGGGACATAGATGGGATTAAAGCATGATTGCGTTGGCTGAACGCTGATTGGTTAATTCTCGTCCAATCAGCGCTAGTCGATACTTGGAGAACACTCTAGAAGCTTCTCATGTAAAAAATATAAAAATACCAATGTTGTTCTTTATTTCACTTTCACTTCTTCTTCTTACTTCCATTTAACCTTGCTATTTGGAATTCAATCTCTTCCCTGTTCAACCATGTTCTGATTTGGGGACTTGTCGAGTGGATTGGTGTTGGAGAATACTAAGCAATAGGAATAGCCAGGTTCTACTAAGACAAAATTATGAAAACTGTTGGTCCGTAAAGATCAATATTTTTGAAAGTCGATCAAATATATTTAAAATTTGCTTATCAGTAATATATTAAGGAATGAGGCGGTTAAGCATAATGGAAAAGTGTTGTACAGATCTTAACTTGTGAATGTTCATAATTCTATTAGCCGACAACTTACTGACTTCATTTAAAATACCTTGTTTTTCACTTGCTGATTCTATCATACAAAAGAAAATTCTATGAATTTTTAAAATTTATGATTTACAAACAATTAAGTGGAATGAATCATTGAGAAAAAAGTTTTTTCTTCAATTAGTTTTCGATAATTTTAAACATTCCAGTAACTAAACTTTAATTGGTCTTTTTTGTTGAGGACGTTAGATCCTCAGAACTCACTTGGAAAAGGTCCTAATTTTGTAATTTTATTACGAAATTTTGAATTTCTATGTTTTCGCGCCAGAGTCGGTAAGTTGACCTTCAGGTTACATTTCCCGCTCAGAAATCCTTGACTGTCATTGGTTGACGGATTATTTTAGTACGCTATTTTGTGGCTCTCCCAAGAGCGTCTATATCATTGTATAAATAAGCTTGATTTGTGTGCTTAGGAACCTCGAATTATCTGGTTGCTTATATACAATGCATTATCTACTCCTTATCAAGACTTCTCAATCTAGTTAGCACGGCCACGGACAAACAAATTAGAACAACCTGTCGTGTCCCTGTATCGTTGATCTTCGTTCTGTTTACCGAGTAAAGTGAACTCGTAATAGCGTTCAAGCATATCATTTTTACTTTACATATTCATCAGTAGGTATGGAATTTCGCGTAAAGATTTTAATTGGTTCGTCGGTGTATAAAACATACTAAAAAGCATACAGTCAGTCAGATGCAACGTAGAACTTCGTACGTAAGTACATCAGTTCATGTTGCCATACCACATCAGCACAGAGATGTAATTGTCGATTCAAATCCGACAGTAGTAGAGGCAATAAAGGTATTAGAAGTAATCGCAGAAGTTAGGATTAGAAGATATCATTTACGAATTGTGATTCAGTGAGACAAAACTAGAGGTGTTGAAGAATCCAGAAGGTTAGGGTTTGAGAGAACACAAAGAATAAATGCACCGGCGCCATTGCGAACGATTTTGAGCCATGTCATTCAAGGTCTCTAACCATCGATTATTATCATCTCGCGGACCCCAAACAGGTAGCCTACATCTACCAACATGACTCAGTCCACTTGTCAATTGACTTCATGAATTTCTGCCATGTTTTGGTTTGGCCAACCCTAACTTTCTTCCAACCTACTCCTACACTACAAAACAAAGCTCGTCGAGGCAGTCGGTGGTTAGGCATACGCAAGACATGTCCCAACCACCTCAACTGATGAAGTTTCACTACTTCATCTATTGATCTGCCATTCGTACCTAGCACCCGTTTCCTAATGACAGAGTTGCTCACTCGGTTGTCCCAGGATATACGAGCAATGCTTCGAAGACACCTATGATCGAAAACCAGTAACCTACGAATATCTTCTACTCTGACTGGCCATGTTTCACAGTTTTAAAGTAAGACGGAGCGAACTACTGGGCAGTACACCCGCCCTTTGGTCAGCAAACGGATATCTCGACTAAAAAGAATACAATTGTACGAATATCGTTCAAACAATCATATTATTCATCAAATAAAAATCAACTTACATTTAGATATTGATTTAGAATACGTTGTTTTAATGTTTTAATAAAATCATTATTGACAGTCAATTTAGCAGAATGATTACTTTCAATTGATATATTATCTGCATGACCATCACAAATAGGTCGTTGTTCGGTAGGATTTGTATTCAATTGTGGATGAATACTTTTAGTATCTAAAATAATAATGATAATAATAACAATTATTATTACATATATAAAGTGATGGGAAATCTGTAACCCAAATGGATGTTTTCAGGGGGTATTGTGTTTTTAACTGAGCTCGACAGTTTAACTGTAGAGTTTTCAATATCCTTTTAAACAACATCTTCAGTGTCTGCTACTACATGAACATAAATACCACAGAAAAAAAATAAAGTCGTCAATTAGAATAATCCACTGTACAAATTACAAAATAAAAAATCAATAAATCATATTACTTATTATAGAAGATAGTAGTTTTACCTACCTGTCAGTTTATCTAACGGAGCATTAGTTGAATTTAATGATAACTGGGAAGGATGCAAAGAAGAAATTGACGAACTAGATGTGATTGGACAAGGTATGTCAGTTTCAGTGGAAATTTCAGTAGTTTGAGTTTTTGCACTGAAATGAAATAAATAAATGTGTATATGAAATATTTTTCAACCATGGGTATTGCATAAAACAATATATTGATAATCTGTAAACGATCAAAGATATTTTTAAACTGTACATACTGTTTATGAACTATTTGATAAGAAAAAAACATTGAGAATCCTTTTCTAAAAATCAATTAGGGTTAAATTTGCCAATTTTTGAAATCAACCAATTTGGAAGTGTGGCAGTAACTCATTAGGTCCTCGTCAAGTTATGTCGTGCAGAGACTGAGTTGAAAAATGCAAACTACTGAGTTTCAACACAGTATCAAAGAAATCTTTAGGTTATATGACACCAAAGTTTTCAGGATTCAGTGTTGAGTAGTCTCGCTAAGTGAGCACTGAATATAAGTTCTTGACTAGTACATCCTGATTTTTGATGGTGTTACAATTGATATCAATTGGTAACTAGAAATACGTATCTTTAGGTTAAATAAAAACTTTAAAATATAACTTGTGCAAGTACATATTAAACTTAAACGATTGTGAAACAGTTAATTTTGGTATCTAGTATATTCAAAGCCAGAAGACTTATATACGAAACAGAGTAATCAGTCAAGTTTGTATCAAAATTCACAAAACGGAGAAAATATTGTATGAAACCTCAATTTGTATTGATAAATTACTTTAATTATCTAATGTAATATACATTCATAATGGGTACTGTTGTGTCTTGATACAAACTACTGATATGACTACTTATTATTAGTAATATCTTCACCTTCGTATTTTTTCCTTAAGTCAAGGAAATATATAAGTCTTTGTTCTATTAAATATTAGCATACAAACAATTGTGTTCATAATTATTACAAATGGCAATACTATCAATATTTTCTTCAAGTCATTACAGACACAAAGAATCTACACACTGAGTAATATTTTTGTATTGAATCTAAAGTTTTACGTATCATAAATTCAGCATTTATTATTACGGAATGAATGTCGATTTCTGTGTAAATAATTCTTTTATGAAATAGGAAAAATACTGTTCACTGGATACAACATTTTTAGGCAAATATACATATATATGAGTGAGATTTCTTCAATTCAAGAACATCTCGAACTCGAAACAACTATTAACCAAAACCAAAGTCACAATTTGCAATACAAATGTTAAGGCAGCTCTACTGTATGAAGCGGAAACTAGGAGAACCACGAAAGCCATCATCTACGAGATTCAAGTATTCATTAACAACTGTGTATACGCAAATTACTCCAGATTCATTGGCCAGACATCTTCAGCAACAACCTACTGTGGAAGAGAACAAACCAGATAATAGTTGAGGAAAAGCACTGGATGTAGATAGGAAATATATTGAAGAAAACACCTAACTGAGTCAGCAGACAAGCCTTCACTTTTTATGCTCAAGGTCAAAGGAGAAGAGGAAGATCAAAGAACACACTTCGTCAAGAACTGTAGACAAACATGAAAAGAATGAACAGCAGTTGCGTAGATCCGGAAACGAAGGCCCAGGACAAAGAGTATGTTGAAGAATGCTGGTCGGTGTTCTCTTTTCCACTGAGGGTAGTAACAGGCGCAAGTAGGTAAGTAAGTAAGTAATATAAATGCACTAAGTAATTTACATAAAATTAAAACTGCATTTATTCTTCTCTTTCCTCATAGTTAAACTTACTTTTGTTGAATACCTGATAAAGAAGATAATAGAAAACTTTGTGAACTAAATAATTTTTTCAAATCATTTGTATCAGTTGTAACATTTGTACTTTGACTAATAAGCGACTGAATTAATGAAGATGTCAATAAAGTTTTTAATTCAGCTTTTAATGTATCCGATGTAGTGTATGATTCGAATGATGGTAATTTATCCAAACTTGTTGTCAATGGTGGTAGAGTTTGTTTCGATTCCAATGAGGATGGTGAATTGATTGATAATTTTGATGATACTATTGATGGTGATGATGAAGAGGACAGTGATTGATGTGTTGATAAATGATTCATTGTTGGAATATCTATTAAATGTGTCGACTGTGAGGTTGTTTTATTATTATCGGATAGATTTGATGAAAATGATTCAATAGGAATTTCAATGTCTAATTTTTCATTTTCTTCTTCATTTGATATTTGATTAGTGTTTAGTTCTACCGGTGAATCATTGTAAGATTCATAATTCACTGTGAGCAAAATAAAAGTTATGAATACTATCAATATACACATATAAGTAGTATATTTGAAAAAATGTAAAAACAAGAGTCCGATGTTGACCATCATTTAACTACTCGATATAAACGTATACCAAATATTGGTTATATCGAAGAAATCTCTTCTCACAGTATAGTACAGCATTAAGCGAAGGCTGAACAAATTCAATCAGTCATATATCAACAACAGGACAATTCAAACGTATACAAGTTTAATGAAACAGTTTCGATAGTTAATAATACTTATATTGTTATTATTATGATTTGTTTCTGTTCACTGACGCTCATTCTGGAGCATTTGCTTAGACTAAGACCATGCTCTAGTGCTAGCGAGAATTTGTTTGCGTCTTACTTGGCATAGGAAAACTATCGCAAGGAAACCTCTTAGGGCTCTACTGAATGATAATAAGGTTAAGAATATATTTCAGGAACAATCAGAAAAACGATGAATACCCTAACAAAATGCAGTTTTCTGAACACTTTAAGCAACAATGCAAGCATGTTTGGGATGCGGTTTCCTCCCTCGAAACGCAAAATGTTGCTTAAGAATTGGCTTGTATCGGCACCAGAACTAGTAATAAGGAGTGAAGTAGTTGAGCGTGTAGACCGCTTCACTTATCTCGGAAGTCTCATCAGTGCCGATGACCTGGTGACTGACGAAATCTCGGCACGGATAAAGAAAGCTCGATTGGCTTTTACGAACTTGCGTCACTTATGGCGTAGGCGAAATATCCGTTTGCTAACCAGAGGAAAAGTGTACTATGTGGTAGTTCGTTTCGTCCTACTTAACGGCTGTGAAACATGGCCAGTCAAAGTAGAAGATATTCGTAAGTTTTCGATTATAGGTGTCTTCGAAGCATTGCTCGTGTATCCTCGGACAACCGAATAAGCAATGCTGTCGTTAGGAAACGGGTCTTAAGTAAGGATAGCAGGTAAATAGATGAAGTACTGAAACTTCATCAGTTGAGGTGGTTGGGACATGTGTTGCGCATGCCCAACCACCGACTGCCTCGTCGAGCTATATTTTGTGGTGTAGGAATAGGTTGGATGAAAGATAGAGGCGCTCAAACGAAAACATGGCACAAATCCATGAAGTCACTGACAAATAGACTGAGTCATGTTGGTAGGTGTCGACTACCTTGTTGAGGCCCGCAATATTGTAGTAATCTACGGTTAGTGACCTCGAACAACATGGCTCAAAACCATTTGCAATGGCACAGATGCATTCATTCTTTGTGTTCTCTGAAATCCTAACCTTCGGAGTTCCGTATCACCTTTTTTTTTTAAGTTTCTTTCACGAGATTATACTTCTTGAATAATATCGTTAAACCCTAATCTCTCCGAATACTGCTAATAATTTTACTACCTCTATTACTATAGGACTTGAAGTGACAATTGCATCTCTGTTCTTATGTGGCATGGCAACTTGAATTGATGTATGTATGTCCGAGGTTCTACGTTGCTGTTGTTTCTGTTCCCAGGAATGAATTATGAAAATCGAGTTACTTGTAAACATAATTATTAATTATTCCATAAATGAAATAGTCAAGAATACAGATTATTATATAACCCAATATGGATATTTTTTTATCTTAATTGGTCAGTTGAATACCAAATAAAGTATACACTTTCTAATGAAAATTATACCTTAGCAAGGTATATTAATCACTGTAATTCTATCAATATCAATTCTTACACATTTGAAATCATCAGTCAATCATTGTTAGATCACCATTAGAAACCTGGAAGCACTGCACGGCTATTTCGTCCTGTTTTGGAACTCATCAGCAGTGCACATCCACGACTCCGACACCTAGCAGGATTCGAACCCCCGACCTTCGGTATTGTGCGCGAACGCCTAACCATCGGACCACTGGGCTGGCATCCAACGGTGTTAATATCTAACTCTGATTGATCTAGGGATTTTGCACGACCTCACCCATTTTTCTTCGGTAGTTACTGCCTACACTCAACAGGGTTGAACTCCATTAGTCACGTCTCCTCAACTAGAACTCCGAGGATTTCAAATGTGTAAAAACACAAACCTCCAAAACTCTGCCCGAAAATATCAATTCTATTGTTACAACTAATAAAAGTTTTCATTTTATCTTATTTTAAATTCGTTATAAAATTAATCAAAAAAAAAAAAAAGAAAGAAGAATTTATCAACATACTTGTATTCAAATTTGTAATAGAAGTTAAATTTTCATAGAATGAATCATGATTTGAATTTTTGTCCATATCTTCAACTTCAACAACATCATCAATCCTAATGATTTCGTTAGAATGGGATTTATCGTCATCATCATCATCATCATTAACATCTTCACTGTATGAACTTTTCAATGATTGTACAGATTTATTATCAATAAATGATGTTGGCGAAGATGATATTGATGATTCAGACATATTGATATTCTTTTGTAAAGGAAACTATAATGAGAAAAAAAAGGTGGATAAAAATTTTTAAAATAAGGTAACAACAACAAAATATCCTTAAGGTATTTATCCACAACAGACAACATGTAAAGACAATTGTGTAATATCGTGAATCTATTGAAGTTAGAAGTATATACACCCATTAGATGACAGTTGATTTTAGAGTGTTTTTTATTCAAACTCGAAAAATTTCACACTCAAAAATACTGTGTTACAAAGATGAGTTCAGCTTACATGTTGACATCAGAATTAGAAAGTAATTATACTTTTGTAGTGAAGGAGAACACAGGTGAAGGCAACCGAATTGTACTTAACGAAAATTACAGAGTTACTCAGTAAAATAGGAAAACCATATAGTAAATCGTTAATTTGCAAATCTTCAATCCATTATCAATCCATTGTCTGACATTTCACTATTCATGCGTTTCATACAAATTCCATTGTGTTCCCACTCTTCCTTTCTTGATCTTCCCCCATCTTCTGCTGCCAGACATAACGTTTACACTCGCGTCATATACTACTTATAAGTAGCGCGCACCACACTTTAAGTGGGCATAAGTAGTTAGAGAGTGTTACTTCACCTGGACAGTTTCTATGTTAACGCCTGGTCCGATGACTAAAAAAGGCCAACCAGGAAAAACAATTCAGACTATTTAAACTCTACCTTGGGAGTTAGAAGGTTTTCATTTACAAGAATTATGCCACTTCATCGTAATAACCAAATCTCTAAGGAAGTCCTGGGGCCGATGACCTTTCTTAAAACAAGAGCAACATTTAATACAGATACATGGAATGTTCATACACTGTGGGATACCAAAAGGACCATCCAGGTAGTCTCGTAAATGAAAAAAGATAATCTGGTGGAGGTTGGAATAAATGAAAAACATCGGACGCAGGTTAGACAGAAAGAATTTCTTCAGGAGATGCTGTTGTACTCAGGCTTTGAAGAAGAAAATGTCTCGCATACACAATGAGTTGCACTGATGCTGTCCAATTAATGACGAAATGCACTTTTAGGATGAGAATGTCATGGACCCAGGATCAACAAAGCCTCCTTCAAAACAAAAAAAGAGGGATCCTCAATGAATATCATTGAGTGCTATGCGCCTAACAACGACTACAATGAGGATGTTAAGGACCAATTCTACGGGAGGCCGAAGTCAATCGTAAAGAAATGCCGAACAAAGGACTTGACTATTCTGATTGGCGACCTACACGTCAATGTTGGAATGGACAATACTGGATATGCAGACATCGTAAGATGACATGGATCAGGAGAAACAAACGAAAACAGTGAGAGATTCCCAAATTTATGTGCCTTTAGCAAAATGGTTATAGGAAGTATCACATCCTCACACAAAGGCACATACATAGCTCTATTGGGTGTCATCACATTAAACTACGGAGAACCAAATCGGTCACGTCTGCGTCAATACAAAGTTCAGAAGGACCATGGAGGACGTGAGAACCAAGAGAGGAGCCTAAATGGTTTCAGATCACCTGATAGCGGCCAAGATTAAACTGAAAGTAAGGAGCACTGGACAATTGAGAGAACAGTATCACAAAAGTTTAATATGAACTTTCTTCATAATACAGGCAAATAAAACAAATTCAAGAAAGATCTCTCAGCAATACGTTCCAAGCTTCGCACAGTCTACTCGATGAAGAGGAAATAATCATGGAGAACAACTGGAAAGTGGGGAAAGAAGCAATAACTTCAGCATGCGATGAGGTTTTTGGCTTCGAGAACCAATATCACAATTAATTGATCTCTATAGATACTTTGAATACGATTCAGGAAATGAAGAACAAAAAGGCAGCAATAAATATCAGCCGAACTTGAGCAGAGAAAGCCTAGGCCCGAGGTGAATACAGAGAAGTAAACAAGTAAGTGAAGAGGAGCATCAGAGCTGATAAGCGGAAATATATGGAAGATCTGGCAATGATAGCAAAAAAAGCTGCAAGCGAAGGAAACATGAGACAACTGTATGATACATGAAGGAGCTCGCTGGAAAATGTATTAAACCAGGACGACCAATTGGGAACAAAGAAGGCAAAGCAGTCACAGACATTCAAGGTGATTCAAGAATATCTGGAACTAAAGCTGACTATCAGCCAACTACAAAGTCAGAACTTTCAAGAAAATCTCAAGAAAATTTTATTGTATAGGATGGGAACTTGGAGGACCATGAAGGCTATCATCTGGAAGATACACATCAGGCCCTGACAGATTGACCCCTGAGATTTTTAAAGGATGGTGGTCCAGTTTTAGCAGTTAGATTGACTGAGATCTTAGGTAGAATCTGAGAACTGGACGTAGTCCCATCCTACTGGTCTCAATCGCTGATTATCTCAGTCTATAAGAAAGGACAAAAGTCCTCTTGTGACAGTCACAGAGGAATCAGTTTGACTAATATAGTGTCTAAAATCTTAGCTTCAATAATACTTCGCCCCCTAACTAGGGCTTGTGAAGAACAGACTCCAGAAAATCTGGGTTTGTTCAGACCTAGACGTGGATGTATAGACCAAATATTCACTCTTCGTCAGGTCCTGGAACATAGACACATTTCGGCGCCGCACAAGTGTTTATTAACAGTCATTTACGCAAAATATTGAAGATCTGTTGACCAGACATTATCAGCAACAATCTACTGTGAGAGAGAACAAACAAGGTTCCAACAGAGGAGAAAATCAGGAAGAAGCGCTGGAAGTGGATAGGACACCCATTAATGGGAGCACCTAGCTGCATCACGAGACAAGCCTTATCTTGGAATCCTCAAGACCAAAGGAAAAGAGGTAGACCAAAGAATACATGATGCCGAGAAATGGAGACAGACATGCGAAGAATGGACACCAATCGGACAGAACTGTAAAAGAAGACCCAGGACAGAGTGGGTTGTAGAATGCTGGTCGGCGGCCAGTGCTCCACTAGGGATAACAGACATAACTAAGTAAGTAATTTATGTTATTCCCTAAAACTAAGTAGTTTCATACTTATTACTCTTGTAATAAACAGAATTTACCTTGAATAACTGTTCATCGTTATTTTCGGACCAACTGGAAGAATATTTACTAGGTTTAATAATCAAACAATTATCCATTATTTGGTTCCGATCATTTAACTCGAAACAATTAGTATCTTTATTTTCATTAATTTCTTTATTTATAGTCGGTGAATGTCTAAACAGTTGACAGTCCATATCAACAATAGAATGTTGACTAGATAATGTAGATAGAGATTGTGAAGATTCTGTGGCAGATTTATATTTTTCACGATTTGATAATTGAGCTTTTTGAATTCTTATAAGATTATGAGCACGTTCAGCTAAACTACCTGTTATTGGCTTTGAAATACAATATTTAACAATAGTAGTAGAAGATTCAGTATTATTATTGATGCTTTGTTCATCTGATGTCATAGTTGTGCTGAATTTTTGGTCAATTGGTTTGAATCCCGAAGAAAACTCCTACATTAAAAAAAAAGAATGTAAATCATATTTATACAGGAAAAAGACTTGATAAAAAGTATTTTATTCGATTTCAAAACCAGAATATACAATAGGAAATTTGATACCTACGACAAACAATAATTTCTATGTTCTTTAAATAAGAATTGATTTTAATTTTGCGCTAATTTTGTTTGTAATTCATTTGGTGGTCAAATAGTTAAAGAAGACAGTGTTAAGCATGCACGTTAACACGTCATTTTGATATGCTTGAACTATTACGAGTTTACCTTAGTCGGAAGACGAGAGCGAGGATCCGGTGACATGACAGGCTACTCTAATACGAGCGTCTCATACCCTCATTGAGTAGAAGAAAAAGACTTGATATGAAGTAGAACGTGTATTCTACGAGCATCCAGAAAGTACGAGGTCCGAGTCCAGAAGAAGACACGGATCCCGAACTGAGGATCCGGGTCCGGGTCATAAAACATTACAGATAATTCGTATTTATACATTTAAGTCGAATAAGAAACAACATTGGAGTATGTGACATTGACAGTTAGGACGACCATAATATTGACCAATAGAATTGGACTTACAAAAATAATTTTCTTAGGATATTTGATGAATATCCTAACACACAGATAATTACTTATTGTTTAAAACCTGAATAGTGTATTTCCAGGTTTGAGCAAATGCTCAAATAACATAAGTTTATATTTTGTAGCGCGAAAGATGGATTTATTAAAACAATCTCGATATTATTTTTTTCAGTAACTGTATACATGAAACATAATGTTAGCAATTTCCTGGGACCAGACTTACATTTATCCTTGAATTTTTTTACTTAAAAACAACGGCCGAGAGCAGTAAAAGTTCGTTCTCTCTGTCTCTCTCTAAATGCTCTCATGTAGTCAGTCATGCATAAATAGCGATTGCCAGAGAAATCTTACTCCCTGCCTTCTCGAGGTAGGAGTGCTGTTTACGAAATTGAGTGGACGAAAACCAAATGTTCGGTGTTAAAAACGGATTAATGAATATGGACAGTCATGTCATGGTACATATGCCACATTCGTAGCCTAATTATGTTCTTACATTGCTCATTGAAGACAACTTTGTACTTACAATATTCATGACCATTACTGTAAGTACACTACTGATAACGACAATGTACTGTAGAATCCTATCATCTCTGTCTGTCAATTTTACTTGGGTCATATACTTCAGATTATTAAAATCTTTGAGATTAGTGTTCAACAGAAGCAATTCGTGAATCTTTTCTTTTCAAACAATATAACTGTAACTTTTTTTCACTATGTGGTATTTATCTAATTGTTAACAGCATTCTGATTATTGTGAACAATATGACATTCTATGTAAACATTATGTTTCAAACAATCTCAGAAGTAATATCAATATATGAAGTAATAGAATCACAAAGTTGGTACTTACATTCAATGGAACAATCGTAGTCGGTTGTGATAGTTTACCGGCATCATATTTTGTGCTAAGCATATCCACTGGTGAATATAAAGAATCTTTTCTATGACTACTAATCGCATTATCTCCATAAACCCGGCCTTCAATTGTATACTTATCTCTAGGAGTTAAATTCTCAGTTATTTGAATAGATTCTTTTAAATCTTCTCTTGGTGATTTTTTTATCGAATGCGATTGATTCTCATGGAAGTCACAAGCTGAGTTGAGTCGAAGTCGATTGATGCGTTTATCGATCATTTCTAATTCTTCACTATAAATATATATATCAAAAAAATTTGGTCAGTAATACAATATTCTTTGTGAGTTGCACATACGCTGGCCTCTACAAACTAAAGTGTCACTTTAATCCCTGAAACTGTCCCATGTCGTTCAAACCTATGGTATTGTAAATCATTTACACATTACGGACTTATGCACTTGGCTTTGAACTACAATCATTGGTTGAAGGTTTGTGTTACCACTCAATTACTTGAATGAAGTTAGACAACTTATTATAAACCTTCAATTTACTGACTGAAACTGGGATGCTTAACTGTTAATAAGTTGATCTTAGTCATTCTAGAAGACGAGAAATTCTTGGTTGATATTTATCTGTAATCAATATCAACAGTCAAAGAACTTAAGTGACATGGCTAAATATGGGTTTTACTAGCGCAAATCCATCGATTACTTATTCTGAAGTTAAATTTTGAGCTTTAATATTACTTCATACCTATCTCGATTTTTTCTTTTCAAATGACATTTCATGATTTCGATCTCATTTGGAAACCGTAAACATTATTAATACCCATAATTCTCTTGGTATACATAGTATATCATTTCCTGTTGTTCTTTTAATGAATCAGGGGAACAACGATTGATGCATATACATGTACAATTTCTATTCGCATGTCTGTCTGCCTAAATGAATGCTTGAAATAACTCCGTCCACAAAACCGTATTTCACTTCTTAGAACCACCACCGCATAAACGGGGTTCATCTACGTATGACATACGGAAATCGAAAGTAAGATTTATTTCGTCACATAGACGATAGTACATCCAAATTAAAGTCATATCGTGGGCTACATAAGTGGTGAGCCCAACTATGAATTTAACACCACCGTTAGAAACCTGGAAGCACAAAGCATATTCACAGTATTCGTTATGAATAAAAACCAAATTTTGTAATGAGAAATCCAATTGGAAATCGATTTTAAAACGTTTTCCACACAAAGCTCATTGTAGATAATGTAACTCACTTAGCCAATATAGTATTGGATTTAGGTGCCACTGATTGTGTAAGATCTAATGACACCACCCCACCACTACTACTCAGTAAGTGGTGGGGAAGGGTAAGTTATTGAACGATCTAATGATTAAAAAATAAACTACGTTAACTACTACTCAATCATCATTCTACACCCGGATATTTATTGAAAATAATTTAGTTATCTAAAAGATAATGAATCAACTTGACTTGAAATAAATGTTTATATTGATTACTGAGCTGCATGTTTTGGCTGTAGAGTTTTAATTGTTCTTCTGAACAACATCATCAGCACAAACTCCAGACTTCAGACTTCTCGCTGAAGTTTGTGCTGACGACGTTGTTCAGAAGAACAATGAAAACTCCACAACCAAAACATCCAGCTCAGAGAACCTAACACCACCACAATCATTCACCTTAACTACAAATTTTCTTCACCATCTCAAAATGAATTCACTTTATGTTTTCAATGTGTGAAATAATGTGAGTTCACTCAAGACAATAATCTTTTGATCAAGTCAATCAGCATTAATATCAATTTTCAATAAATCCACAGGCATAAGTTTATGCAATATGGAAAAATATACTTGGATTTGAATATAATTTTAAACTTTAAATATCAATAAAATGAAAAGAATGCAGAGAACGATCTCATGGAAAGCGGCTAACAAACCTAGAATTGAAACACACACTCACAATCATTACATTAAACAATAATCATCATATTATATCGCCAAACTGCGGATGTGTAAATCATTAGGCTCCTAAATTAACGATTCAATAGGCATACTGCAATCAGCGAAAGATACGAAAGATTTCAATATGATCCTATATGTTGTTAGCGGGACATAGATTGGATTAAAGCATGATTGCGTTGTCGCACGCTGATTGGCTCTTTCGTAGCCAATCAGCGCTAGTCGATAATGAGGGAACATTCTAGAATCTTCCATCTAACCTTGTTATTGGAATATAATCTCTTTTCCTGTTCAACCGTGTTCTGATTTGAGAGAGAACGTCTCGAGTGAATTAGTATCCGAGAATAATAAGCATTAAGAATAGCTGGGTTGTAATAATAAGAGAGAATGATACCATATGTACTACTGGATGAATGCATTGTTTCTACTATTGGCTCAAAATGAAGCCTAACTTTAAAACTAACAACATTGTTGAACAATCGCACCTACAAAAACTTTGATCATTTTAACATTTATGTAGGTATTATATACAATTTTAAAATTTATCTCCCTAAACTGTGTTAAACAAACGGGAGAGAATGGGAAATGCCTTGAGATAATAATAATAATAATAAAACATACTCTAACAATTTTTGACGTAATTGTATATTCTCATTGTCTGCACACACATTATTAGTACATTTATCTTCAAATGATAATTTACTTGATGTAACAGATTGTGTAGATATTTTGGAATTTTCATGTATCAATTGAAATGCATTATCAGGTTTTATATTAGAAAGAGAATTTTTCAAACTCATTGATCCTGAGGGAAAACGACAACGTCGGATATCAGGTAGAATTGGTCTTTCACCAGGTCCTAAATTAATCGAGTTTACAGATTTTTTGTCAGCTGGTATTTGTTGTTGTTGTTGTTGTTCTTCTTCTTCTTCCATACTTGGATGTTCATCATGATGTAAAACGTTATCAGTGTTATTATCATTCGGATCTTTAAGAGGAAAATGAAAAAAAAATTTAATACAAAGAAAAAACTGACACAATAAAATGTAAGAAAACTATTCAACAACCAATGATAAAAGAGTCTTAAGTCAGTCTAACTTATCAATTAGTACTAAGCAAAATGTTGTCATAATCTAAAACCGTCCAGTGCTTCCAGGTTTCTAATGGTGGTCTAACAATGATTGGTTGATGATTTCCATAACTCTAATTGAAAATATCGTAAACTGTGCTCACTAGTGACTAACTTCGTGAGGAATTTCTCGAAGTTCTAGTGAGAAGACGTGACCAGTGGAGTTCAACCCTGTCGGGTGTAGGCAGTAACATCTACCAAAGACAAACGGGTGAGGTCGCGCAAAATCCCTAGATCAATCAGAGTTAGACATTAACACCGTTGGATGCCGACTCAGTGGTCCGTGGTTCGAATCTCCTGAGGTGTAGGAGTCGTGGATGCGCACTGCTGATGAGTCCCATACCAGGACGAAACGGCCGTGCAGTGCTTCCAGGTTTCTAACCGTGGTCTAACAATGATTGACTGATGATTTCAAATGTGTAGAAAAAACACTAATCTCCATAACTCTAATTGAAAATAATCTAATGCATCGTGTACTTGGATTTCAGAGGATATTGGTGCTCTTACTAAAACAGACATAGTGGATATTGTTTTAAACACTAGCAGAGAGTCTACCAGCACACTGAGTAATGAAAAGATAGTAGCTCATTTACTAAAGTATTCCATTTCTAATCATAAATTTAAAGGTTAGTTTATCTTCTGCCACAAGTCTGTGATTATAAGGCTGACTATCCCTAATATCCACTTACTTACTAACTGTAATTGTCAGTAAGCTATTTCTATCTTTTGTAAACAGATTAATGCATGTCAGTAAATCAATTACTGATATGAAGATATGATGATATCCCACTAGAAACGCACATAAAATAAACGAAACCACCTCAATTCTACTGCTAACTGACAGTCTATGAAATATGATCAGGACAGATTCATTAACAGTAGTATATAAGCTTACACTTGAAAAAAAAACCAATTTGTTGACAAATGGTGAACAACAATCAAATTTGATAAATGAACGAGCAGAAATCACAAAAGTTACGCATTACAGACCAATTTTTTTCATAGGAACTACTTACCTAATTCCACAGTTTGATCATTTGAAAGTGACACTGGTCGTTTGACAGGCTGATCATCATTATCCACTGTGATATCCGTTGTGGGTAGGCTGTTTTGTTCACGTTCAACATTCAGTACTTGGTTACATTCATTGATATTGTTATCTATAACACTTTCATCAATAGTATCATTGTATTCTTCATCATTTAAATTTGCCAATTGACGAAGTAATTCATCCTAATAAATTGTCAATGAGTGATAAATGGAATAAATAATTTTTTGAAGATATCTAATTTACTACTTATGAACTTTATGTACTTGGTTTTCAATCAAACTATTTTTGTGAATGACAGCCATGGTACTCGCTGACCGAACTCAATCAACTGAATCATAGATCAAATAGTTGACCCAATGAATCAAAATCGAATCTAATGACGGGATTCAGTGAAAATCAAACCTAGATCACTTAGATAGCAGCACTCTTTGTCTTTTCTCAAATTATAATCTTCTGAATTCCTCATCACCTCTATCCTTCTCTCTCTAAATTTATCTCACTGAATTATTCATCTCGAATCATATCTTTGACCCTAATCTTCTCCATTACTGCTAATACTTCTACTATCGCTACCACTTAAGGATTTGAATTGACAATTGCACCTATGTGCTAACGTGATATGGCAACCTGAAGTGATGTAAGTACATATGAAGTTCTATGTTTTAACTGACTGACCGACTGACTGACTGAGAAAACAGTTCAGAATTGAATAAACCAGTTTACGTAGAATTCAATGAGTCATACTGACGTAAAGGATTTATAAATAGAATTCATTCTTCTATTGCCTTACATCTTTGAAAAAATTAATACCTGAACGTTTACTATGTATTTAGATGTTAAAAACGTAAGTTGATCGGTTGAGTTTTAGCTACAACCATATTTTATTGGGCTGTTAAATTAATCTGTCAATAGTGTACAGATATATTCAATGCTAATCAAAAAGAAACCCTGATCACTTCTTTAAGTATGTTACACGTCACTACTTAATAGTATTGAGTAGATTACATGTTACCAGTTATAATCGTGAATTTTCAATCGTGTAAATTGGCATTTTCAATTGATGTATTGATTTGCGTTTTTTTTAAATTTAATGAAATTTTATTCCTCTTATTATTATTATTCATTC